ACAACTTTTGCACACCACACAACTATTTCGAATTTCGAAACTGATTTTATAAAATGGAACACATGTCAAACGAACGGCGCACGGTCGCTCACTCACAGACAAACAAAGATTTACATTTATCCGTTCATTTTTCATTTAAAAACGATATTTTTAAGTTATTAAACTAAATAAAGTTTAACGTGACACGCGTACGAACCGCGCCGCGTCGCATTTTCACTGGTTTTGAGTCGAGACGAAGATATTTTTACCTGTGATGGCAAAAAAAGTTTCGTTCTTATTCAGAGCTTAATTGATTAGCGCACTCAATATTAAACCTCGTTACAATAAGATAACGTCTACTTTCGCTTGCAGCGAACAAATTGCATTAGTGTGATCGTACTTGTAGTGTCTGTTAATTGAATTTAAGTTATGCTGCTTTAATGTAAGGTTGAGTTTTGAATGGTTATTATTAAAAAGCTTGGGTCTTGAATCGTGCGCTTGTAGATATACGGTGGGCAGTTGGTTTGTGGCAAAGATTCTAAAACTTTTTTTTACACGTATTTCGACCTTTTTGGGTGCGGATGTTTTAATTACCACGGCTTGAGAGGCTGAATGATAGAATGTTTTTGAGTATGTCCGACGACGGTTGCCATTAAGCACTTATCATAGATGCACAAGAGTCCTTGTAGGTACTGAATTCCCGAGTAGGAAAAATTAATAAGTATTGATGTTTTCTACCATTTAAAATTTATAAAAGAGACCTGCCAAATGATGAAAATGTGGGTATACGTTACTTGTTAGCTCATCTTGCCAGGGGCACTCAAATAGTACCATCTTTTCGAACCCGCCATTTTTTTTTTTCATTTTCACTACACTGTGATTTTTCTTGATTCGGTCTGCTTTTATTAAACACTAACACAACAAAGTCACGCATGCACACACTCAGACTCGAAATAACAAATTGTGCACTATACAAAGAATTTGTTCAATATTCAATGATCCTACGATACGTTAGGCAGCATTCGATCGCTGCGGCTAACAGCATTTGTAATCTATTTTATACTACCTAATATTGCAATTATTAAGACATAAAATTAGTAAGTTTGTATGTAGGAGGTAATCCTTAAAACCGCTGCTCGGAATTCCGCATACAGCTACAATGTTCCTTAGTGCTATAGCTATAGGCTATAAAACATCACGCTACTATGAAAAGGAGCGGAGCAACATGTGAAAACGCACGAGAGTGGATAGTGACAGAATAAGGACAAACAAAACAATTGCAACTAATTTCCTTAAAAGAATTATCCATCTATTAAAAGACACCGCACATCAATTGTTGATGTCCAAAAATATCGAGGCAATCCATCACTGTCAGTTTATAGGACACAGATGGACAAAACTCCCGCCGAGGCCGAAAAGGAAGTCGATAAAATAAATCAAGCGTCGCTTTTATTACCAAAACTTTTTACACTTTGTTGATGTTTTCCTTGTAAATAGATAAAATGAAGTTAAAACATTGTTGTTTAGGATCAGGAGTATCTATTCTTAAGTGTGGAAGAGCTATGCTTTGACACGAATGGGCTAGGTCGACCGGAGTGATATCACTGCCTCACAGAATACCGGCGTGAAGCAACGCTTATACGCAGCGTTTCACAACGTATGAGTGAGGTTACTGGAGGTCCAGTCCTCCCCTCATCCTCAATCATCAAATCCCCTATCTAAACCTTAAATAAGCCACAAGAGGTCGGCAATGCAGTTGTAGTAAATCCTTTGGTAATGCGGGTTGCCAAGGTCGGTGCCTATGACTTACCATCAGGTAATCGGTTTTTCCGAAGTCATAAAAGAAAGAATTTGGAAAGGCAAACGTTTTCATCGGTCCAGCCTATGAGTCGTGAATGCTGGTTCTATCACAATTATGTAGCTACCGTAGCCCTGCTCAAATCCAGAGAATTTTTTTGAGAATGTTTTTAGTCAGTAAATTGAGTCTGACACTCCCACTCGCCCTATCCAGGGTGCGAGAAGCCGTAGCTAAAGTAATTTATTTCCTTCCTGAAAAAATATAGATTTTCACCGTTGTAATGTGGGTCATGTGTTTTACCTATTAGACCATAGTCAAACGCAGGCCACAGCTTTGCCGAACGGAAATTTAGCCCATAACACGTCATCAACCGCACCTGTATTCAACTACAATATTACATTCCCAAAAATTTTAAAATAAAGCTATCAAAATCAACGAAGTCATAACACATCTCTGTACGAAACTCGGGTAAAAAACTTTGAGCACCGCTCGCCAGGACTCATGGCAGTAGAAACAGGTTTGGAGTAGAAATAATAACTGAATGCGGTGTGTGGTACGAATTATACTGTTCCCAACGATATCTACACCCAGAAGCATACATACGTACCATGCGTGTTATTGCCACATAGCTTAAATACCTAAGGATACCTGCTAACTAAACCTGCGAGTATTGGAGAGCCAAGCTTCGGCACGAATGGGTCGGCTCGACCAGAGTGATACCACGGCGTCATAGAAAATAGGCGTGAAACAACATTTGTTTCACGCCGAGTAAGTGAGGTTACGGGACAAAATCCTCCCCTCCACCATCCTCAATTCTCAAATCCGCTATTCTTAAATCCCTATTAACCCGTAAGAGGCCGGCAAAGCACTTGTAGTAACTTCTTAGGTAATGTGAGTGTCAATTAACGGCGCCGATTGCTTACCATCAGGTAATCCGTCTGCTTGTATGCCGATTGTTACATACTATGTAGGGATTCTCGCGCGGTTTCACCCGCTGCTCGGCTCCATACAATCGTAGCGTGATGTATTATAGCCTATAGCACTCAGGAATATTGTAGCTATCTATCAGTGAAAGAATTTTGGAAATCCTACCCGCGGTTCCAAAGATTACCTGCCCTCTACATACCAACTTACAAATTTTACCTCTTTATAATATTAGTACCTATAGATTAAACTAGGCACCCACTACTCAACAAATGTCCCTTCTCACACGGATAAGGTTGAGCATTAATCATCACCGTTCCTCAAGGCAGGTTGGCGATTCCAAAATCTTCAAAATTATACATCCTTTCCTCACGATGTTTTCCTTCACCGTTTGTCAGTGATGTCGAAACAATCATAGGAAGTAGGAAGATATCTATAAATTGGAAAGCTTTACATTGGTACTTACTAGGAAGTTTTTGGACCCGCACCCTCTTCGGAAAAACAGGAGGTTTCAACCACGACATAAAGTAATTAATGAAAATACATTGTTTAAATGCATCTCTGTTTACTCTCGGGAGGTTTAAAAAGCGTAAGGTAGAAGTAGTAGTGTTAAGGATACCTGACTATTCCAACTAATATCATAACACGCAATTTTGTCAGTACGGGTGGATATTTGTTACTATATTACGTAAATACTACTTACTGTACTGATCTGAATAAAATTTGGTACATTTGGTACAGTCTGGAGTAACTCATAAGCTTTTAATTCTAGTACTGTGGATGAAGCCGCTGACAGAAGTTAGAACGCAATAGGTATCATCATCATCATCATCATCAGCCTATAAGTGCCCACTGCGGAACAAAGGCCTCTTCTCATACGGAGAAGGTTAAAGCATTAATCACCACGCTTGCTCAATGCGGGTTGGCGATTTCAAACTTATAATTAGAAATTATAAGTCCAGGTTTCCTCACGATGTTTATCTTCACCGTATGTCAGTGGTGTCTAAATAATCATAGAAAGTACATATAACTCGGAAAAAGTCACATTGGTACTTGGCAGGTTTCGAATCCACACCCTCATGCATGAGAAGCGGGCGCCTTAACCTCCGGGCCACCACGACCGTCAATAGGTATATTCATCATCAAAAGCAGTCCTAGAAGTCTACAGCAGGATTATGTGGCTACTCTACAGATAAAAGATTGACTTGCAAGCAGGTTGGAGATCAAGTGCAATACATTACCTAACGTCCTAGCGACGGCCTAGAACAGAAGGAACTTTGGGGGTCTCTAGTCAGCAAGTCTGATGTTTACCTCTCAAAAAAAAAAAGATCTTAGTCTAAAAGGTACTATTAGCTGGACATTCATGTAGCTGGATAATCGAGCTCAGGTCAGAGTCTCCTTTTTTTCATCTTCACGATATGTCAGCAAACGGGCAAACAGATTACCTGATGGTTAGCAGCCGCCCATGAACACTCGCTACTCCAGAGGAGTTACGAGAGATTTTGACGTTTCAAAAGTACGTATTTATGGTTTAGTTGGAATAAATGTTTAACCAGTATGTGTTGCCAGTGATGACGTATGGTACTGAGACGTGGTCCTTAACTTCTGGCCTTCTTTCTAAACTCAGCGTCGCTCAGCGCGCGATATGCTCGGGGTCTCTTTGCGCGACAAAATCCGAAATGTGGAAATTCGCCAAAGAACCAAAGTCACCGACATAGCTCGTAAAATCTGCAGGCTAAAGTGGCAATGGGCAGGCCACGTCGCTCGAAAGACGGACGGTCGATGGGCCCGAAAAGTCCTAGAGTGGCGACCAAGGACCGGAAAACGTAGTGTGGGCAGGCCTCCCACTAGGTGGACCGACGACATCGTCAGAGTCGCGGGGAGCCAATGGATGCAGGTGGCAACTTGTCGTTCGACGTGGAGAGCCAAGGGGGAGGCCTTTGTCCAGCAGTGGACGTCTTCCGGCTGATGATGATGATGATGATGATGGAATAAATGATTTTGACTTGAATTGGTTATTCTTGTACACAAAAACGGTTGAACCGCAGGCGAAGCAGCGTGAGCAAGCTAGTTACGAATAAAACACAGAAATAACAATGAACTCAAAATATGATTTAATCCATTTTCTACTTACAACTATTGTTTAAATATTCCACTGAATGTGTATATTTATCATGTTTTCCCATAGTATCATTTTTTTTTCTTTGTACATTTTTAACGCATTTTTTTAACAATATTATTTTGAATACGCTGTCTTTTATATTATAAAAAGAATATACTCAACAGAGATGACAATAAAAATGGTCACTCAAATCGATTTATATGATTTGACAGCTGTCAGATCTGACACCTGTCAAATTAGACAGATAATAATGCGTTTTGTTTCCTCGTTTGATGTTGGAAGGGAGTTTCACAGAATGATACTATGGGTTGTCTCCGGTTGAAGATTTATGCGGCTTTCTTGGGCACCCACGGTTCCACCTTAGGCCTGGTCGTGCTGTAGGGAACGTATTGACCGGTAGTACCAGACATGTTCTCTGTGAAATCAGCCATCCACTTGTATTTTGGTCTGCTTGGGTCCTAGAAAAGAAAAACATTATAAGATTTTATATGTAACATCCAAACTAATATTATAAATGCGAAAGTAACTCTGTCTGTCTTTTCTTCACGCCTAAACTACTGAACCGATTTTTTTGTTTGTTTTTTGTTTGTCAGGGAAAATCATCAAATGACTTCTCCCGCCCAGGGTTAGCCGAGAGAGAGTGTCAGACTCATACTGACTAAAAACCCCCCCGTTCCTTCTCATTCTCTGAGCCGAAGCCGCGGTGACTCATTGCGCTTAACCCGCAACCCCGGCTGAACATCAGCCCTATAGGGGCCCCGTCCGTGGTGGGCCATTGGCTCTTTGAGGCGCGCGCGTAGCGCTACGCGCCGTACGCTCGGGTCTGGGTCTGGTCGGGCGGCGAGCTACCCTTACTCGCCGTCCGCAGACCCGCGCATAAAGTGGCCGGAGATCATCTCTCGACAGACACAGTTTGGAACTCAAAAAAGGACATAGGATTTTATACCAAAAATCTGCTAGACTTTCTATATGTATGCACGTGCAACGCAGTGCCTAAATAACTGGCGACGAGACGGGGATTTGATTTCATCATAGATAAATAAGATACTTTTTTTCTCTTGCCCCGAGGTAAGGCGACAGGGAGTGTCAGACTATTACTGATTAACAGCCACCAATTCCTTCTTCTGCTTAAAACAGAGACTAATGAAGTTCTCCATTATTTATTCCGTGAACAGAATGTGGATTACTGCATTGTTCTTAGGCCAGGCGTAATGTATATGTAAACCCGTGTGCACCCACGACACAGGAAAAATAGACAGTCAGAATTCACGTTACAAAATACAAGTTACTTATAACAGAACACAACGCCATACAACGTAATAGCTTACTCGACTCAGAAATCAAATCATGACTATGATCAAACATAAGCAAGGAGTTTCTTGCTCGTTCTTCTCCATAGGAATCTACATTATGGAACGAGCAAATAGCTACACTAGAGGACAGACCGACAGACTGATGCTTTTTATCTATAAGATTTGTTTGACTTTCAAAGTGCCAGTAAACGTCTTATTGAAATTAATAATTCTGACTTTTGACTTTTAAACCTGGAAGTGTATACTGAATGACTAAAACAGTCCAAACTAATATTATAAATTCGAAAGTAACTCTGTTTGTCTGTCTTTTCTTCACGCCTAAACTACTGATCCGATTTCTGCGAATTTGGTACAGACATAATTTGGAACTTGAGAAAGGATATAGGATAGTTTTTATACCAAAAAACTGCAGGAAGTCACTATTCCACGCGAACGAAGTCACGGGTAAAAGCTAGTCATACAGTAACTATAAAGTAATTAATTACTTTATGAACAACATATGAACATTTGAGCTCACCTGGTGTGGGGGCAGATCCGTTTTGTAGTGGAGCCAACCAAACCATTCAGCTGAAACCTGAAAATCAAAATAAAATTATGAATAATATAATTTTTTTACTGATATTCATTTTTGTTACCACATCTCTGTATTTCGCCGTTTAAGGTAGGTTACAGGGGCACAATCCTGCCTTTTATCCCTAAATCTCCAAAACCCTAATCCCCGAATAGAGAATGGTTACGCCGTGTAAGTGAGATTATCACACAGACGGCTAAACAATACTTACGTTTGTTTTATTATTTTAATGATATTAAGAATATGATGGAGAGCTCTGCTTCGGCTCAGCCGGACTGATACCACGGCCTCACAGAAAACCGGCGTAAAACAACTATGGCGTTGTGTTTCGCCCAGTGAGTGACGTTACCTGAGGTTCAATCTTTTCCTTAAAATAAACCAAATCCCTAATCCCTAAAGGGTCGGCAACGCACCCGTAACTCCTTCGTTATTGTTGCGACTGCTTATTGCGTAATACTACTACGTAAAGGAATTACTACATATACGTTTTCGGCCTCCTGGGCCGGAGACAACCAGAACCAGGCCCGAGCGTACGGCGCGTTGCGCTTCACACGCGCCTCAAAAGGCCAATAGACCACCACAGACCGGAGCCTATATGCCTGATGTTCAGCCGGGATCGCGGGGCAAACGCTATAAGGCACCATGCCAACGGCCTAGGGTAGCAGAAGAATTTTCTTCTTACAAAAAAAAAAGGGTATCTCACCTGGCTTCCATCGTAGTTCATATGCACCTTGTCACTGTACTCCACCCAGCGGTTCCTACCGTAGAAGTAACGAGGGTTCTCATAGTATTTGTTGCCATATTTATCTTCACCAACCAGTCGGCCGTCTTTCAACTCATCTTGTCTGAAAATTTTTACTATTTTATTAGGAAACTTGATATTTCTATTAATTCACCTATACACATACCATAAAGAGGTTTTAGAGTTATTTGTTTGTTTAGATTGAATAGGATATGAAACTGCTTGACTGATAACCAAAATAATTTCACTATTGGGATTTTTTCTTGGGCAGGGTACTGCTAGGGAATATTAATTTAGATTAGATCTATAGATATCACAGCATAGAAACAGACTGACACATAGAGTTCATCATTATAATTAGTAGACTATAATGATGAACTCTAAATCAAAAATCTGATCCATACTAAAGATAAGTAACATTTTTTATACTCAGAAGTCTGTTTCGCTATATTATTCATAGTTTTGTTTATATAATGAAATTATATAAACATTTTTTTTTAGTTTTGCAAGTAGATTACTAAGTATCACTTATGCATCAACTATATTAATTACTGCTACCATACTTATAAAAAAGAGAAGAATACCATTTTTATGTTATCCATAAACCTTGAAATTTTCTTTTCTTTCACAATTTTTTTTATTACATCTATAACAATTGAAGATCAGTTTAAATAATGTGTATTTACTACCATTATAGTCTTGAACAATTGAAATAAACATAATGATACAACAAATTTATTTTAGCAAATAGGCCATGAACTGTCCTTTTACATGTCAACATTATATCTGACTGCTCTGAGAACAAATGCTGTAACAAACTGGTCATTAAGTGTGTATATTGGACCTGTATTACTGCTAAAAAAAGGGAATTGAGGATACTCTAGTTCATTATCCATTCGATACATATCCTTGACACAAGCAACTGGGTGATTCTTCACTTCAATTAGATAAAATTTAATAATGTCATTATCCTCCACCGAAAATTAACGAGTCTGCTGATTAAAACACAGATAATTATTTTATTAAATTAAATCTCACCACTGCTTACAAGCAACCGATTAAAAATATTGTATAAAATAAATTACTAAGATGCTTAAAAACCTGGGGGGATAATGACTTGTTAAATAAAAGTTAAAGTTTTTTGGAGAATCACCCAACTAACTTCCGAAAGAAAACACAATTTAATATTCAGAATAAAGTCGGTTTAAATACAACATGCAGTCTTGCCGAAATTACGTTACAATATTAGATAGGAATCAATGACGATAGGTATAGAAAATTAAGAGAAATTAAGCTTATTAATTTGAAAAAGCAATGAGTAAAATTATGTACTCGTAAGCAAGCTTTACGAATCAAGAATTGTCAATAATAATATTTTATTACTGCTAACATGACGAAAGGTAAATAATTTCGAAAGTTTTTGCGTAATTTATGCCTGGAACATATCCAAAAGACTAAATTCTGGTATAAACATAACCTTAAAGAAAATTACATAATTAACAGAATTATTCTTTACCTGTACAGTTTAAACAGGGAAGCTCTTATTCCACCATTCTGGCGGATTGCATTGAAGAAATTTGTAAGTTTATCGAGCGCTAATATCTTTCCTAAAGACATTTTTACAGTATTTTTCGATTTCGATCTTCGTCGAAAATATTGACGACTTTGACAGATAGAAAAGTTGGGGTTGCTAGCTTATTTATAAGATTCTACCAAATACAAGTAAAATGTTTAACAATACGGTAGTTTCCGACTAGTCGAAAATAACACTTTCATCCAAATGTCACAAACGATACTTTTTTATGGATAAGTCGGCAGATGAGTAGACAGATTACCTGATGGTTAGCAAACGGCGACGGCTGCCCACGAGTTACGAGTGCGTTGCCGGCCTTTTGGAAAGTTGCGGATATTTTAAGGATTGGGAAGAGATAGGGTTATTTTGCACCGGTTTTCTGTGGGGCCGTGATGCCGGATCACTCCGGTCGACGAGCCGACCCATTCGTGCCGAAGCTTGGCTCTCCCACACTTTTCTATGCAATTTGTATGAAATTCCAGATTATGACGTCATCGTATTTTAGCGTCAATTGGTTTACCTATTACTTAAAAATTAGCTAAACAATATGAAAAAAATGGTGTATAGATAAATTGATGGGTAGTAATTCAATATTTTATTGTATTGTAATGTCGAATTAATTATTTTACACCTCTGAAACTATCAAATTTACAACATATATAGTAGTTCCGACAGTGACTTGTATGGTTACTTTACTGCCTTTAAATCAAATATTATTCAAACTGAATGAATGATCTTCCTTCACTGAAAAAAGTTATACATATCACCCAGTTAAAATAAACACGTATCTATAAATTATTTACATGATTTTATTTTATATTTACATTGCTTGATCAAAATTAGTTAAGATAATTCAATATTTTTATGCTTCTTCTTTTTATTTTTCTTCTTAGTTGCAGTTTCAGAAGATATCTCATCATCTTCAACAGTATTTGCTATCTCTGTTTCAGGTGCTTCATCATCCTTTTTTCTCTTCTTCTTTTTAGGTTTAGGAACATCTACATTTATTTCAGGAGTTGCTTCAACATCATCAATTTCATCTTTTGTTTTTTTAGATTTTCTACCAATTTTCTCTACGTTTTCTACATTGGCAGCATTGATATCATCTGTCATTTGATTTTCATTAGGCAAAGGCATCTCATCAGATTCAGCCAATTCACATTTTGTTATGCTAGAATCATTTTTCTCATTGCTGTAACAGCGATTACGTTTCTTCTTCTTTTTCTTTTTAATTTCTGTGCTATCAGAATCACTGTGGAAGTTTATGTTGTCAACTTCTTCTTTTAACTTCTTGAAATGTGAATAGCCACTGTATTTTGATTGGGAGAGTAGTTGTGCTTCTTGTTGGGCTATTCGCGCTAACTTTCCAGTGGCTCTTAAACCATGGCGAGCACCTCTGAAAATTATAGAAGAGATTTTTTACCAACAACATTGAAATATGTTATGAAAATTGATGCTTGTATAATAATATTATGAATGAATTTTTTCATAGACAGTACTGTACTTTTCTTCACAATACAGATGTTAACAAGAGTTCAGAAATGCAAAATTAATTTTAAATTTGTAGTATATTAGTAGTTTGCTGTAATAAAATATCATCAAAAGAATTTATAAAAAAATATATGCAAAATATTATATTTTAGCATACAAAGATTCACACTTATAAAAAAAAAATGATACTAACTTATGAGCAGTCCTGCCTTCACACTTCGCAAACAACTCTTCATCGGTCATCTTGAACACATCTTTCTTTTCCTCATCATCCTCCGAGTCAGATTCCCTCACCCTCTCAACATTACTAGCACCGTTAGTCAGCACCGCTGTCCGCACAAAGTAATCGGAGTACTGTTCTTCATTTTCAGCCACTTTCTGTCGTTTATTTAGTTTCCACGTACTATTGGTGATGACAAACTCCTGATCGTCTTTTGTCTTTATTTCTTTTGTTTTACCATTTTTCTGTTTAACCTGGAATTTTTAGATTAATTTTTAGTTAATCATATGCAACTCAACTTATAAAAAAAATAGCAGATATGTTTTTTTTAGGAATTTTGACATCTTGATATACTCTTTCCCTTCAATGGATATAAAAGTATTTTTGCTATCTACCTCAACATTAGCAGCTGCTTTATCATACAGTGTCGTCCACCAGTGCTCATTAAACTCAGCGGCTGCATCATGCCCCACTCCCGCCACACTGCGCTTCAGTTTAGGCTTCAGTGCCTCTGATATGCCATTTTCATGCTTACCCAGTCCTTTGCCTGGGGAAAAAAACAATATTTTATGTAATTTATTCAATTTTCATTAACGATTCATTTTTTGGTGGAAGGAAGGTATTTAGTATTTTAATGTTATTAAAGAAAAAATTAAGCTTTGCTCTTTTCTCTTTTTAACATATATTACCTATTTAACAGACCTTTTCCATAGCATTGTAGTTAGGTAGGAGTGCCACGCCAAAGCAAAAATAGTACAACATGTAAATAATCACAAATTACTCCAATGTCATTGAATTTTTATATAGGCTGACTGCTGAGATGGTTTAAAAAAATGAATTGTAACTATCAAGCATTAAGTCTTCACAATGGTCACTGGGTATCCTCAGGTGCAGGCTATATATTACAATGTAAAAATAAAAATCGACAACAAAATAAGCACTAAGACATTGAGATAAGAACGTCATGTCAAATAAAACATGCGTAATTAATTGTAGAATAAAGTTTACGCATTTATCTCGATACCGTTATTGTGATTTATACTTATATTGGTCAACAGATAGAAGGCGGAACCAATTTTTTATAAAGAACACCTCAATCACACTCATGAAAGTTTAAAAAATACCTCAGTATAAAAAGTTTATAAATCAAAACAAAACAATGTTATAGTTTACCATCGGTCCAGCCGTATTTTTCTAGTTGTTTCCTAGCAAAATCCATTATACAGAGATACGGTAAAACAATAATTTTACTGAAAAGCTAAAATTTTTTAAACATTTTGTGTCGTAAATATAACCTCTTTCGACACGCGTATTTGACATTGACACTGCCACTTTGAGCTTCTCGTCAATTGAATCCGTCAAATCGCTAATTTTTTTTTTGGAGTTTATGGCGTGGGTGCAAGTTTTTTAAGCAAATCAAATCGCAAAGAGCGCAAAATTCCACAGAGTCAAACGAATAAGTTTAGACTCTGTGTAGAGTGAAATGAAACAAAAAGTTGACCTTTTTTTGTTTAGTTTTTTGAGTATAGGAGAGCTATGCTACACAGAAAACGGACCAACGAAACAACCACAGCGTTGTATTTCGCCGTGTGGATGAGGATACTGGAAGTTCAATCCTTTCCCTCCCTGAATCTCCAGAACCTATATCCCTAAAATGGTAAGCTAAGCACTCGTAACTCCTCCTTTATTGTGAATGTCTTTGGGCGCCGTTGATTGGCTACCCGTAGGTAATCCATCTGCTCGTTCGCCGACCACAAACGATGACACCGGCTAAACCTAGCAAGTACCAATGCGACTTTTTCTAAGTTACATGTACCTACTCTCTAACTAAATCTAAACAGTGAAGGAAAACGTGCATCGTTAGGGAATCTGGACTTATTAAGAAGTCTGGAATCACCACCCCGCCTTGAGTATGTGTGGTGATTAATGCTCAAACCTTCTCCGTATGAGAAGAGACTTTTGGTCAGCAGTGGACACTTAGGTACCTAACTATGATGATGTGAATTTAGAAGTTATAATACTAAGGCCTAAGACTAAAACAGGTTCTCGCTACTTAACAAATTTAAATAAAACAACAAAATGTAATTTAGTAATAAAATATTATAATTTTTAACAATTGTAAATATAACTTACATATTCAATTTGGTCAAATATAATCTCTTTATTGTATAGTTTTATAAAATCTACTGAACATTTGCATGTTTTATGAACTCACTAGATATCGCTTTTTAACTTATCAATCTACCAATTTTACAACCAACCGCTAGTCTAATTACCCATTCAATTAACGAGCAGAATGACTAGCCGTATACCTAATTGAATGGCTTCAAGTCTCGTTTAGGCCATATTAAGTTGTATAATTGTGTATTAAGTTGTCATTAAATCGGAGTTGTTGCCAGAAATGTTGGTCAATTAAAGTATTTTTTCGCCTTGGTTGCGGCCACAGAAAGTGTCAGATTATTACCGACTAAAAACAACCACGTTCTTCTCCTGCTCCAAACCAAGGTCGAGGTAAATTTCTGCGTATGACCCACAACCCCGGCTGAAGGTTATGTTATAAATCAATAATCATCATGTAAGGTTTGTTCATCGGATACGTGTATGGGGACATACACGGTGTCAGGATGGACGAGTGTAAGGTTTAGGATTATTTCAAACCCTCTATCTGTATTTAATTTTATGTTTTATGTTTTTTATTTTTAAAAAGAGTTTCTAAATTGACAGCATAAAATAATAAATTAAACTTGGCGGGAAAATTGAATTTATAGTTGTCAGCAGCAGCTAGCAACACGGGGAGAAAATGGCGAGAATTCGAATGGAGCACACAGAACCGTACGGTTGTGATAGCGATATTTAATATTTGAAAATAAATAAATATTGATTGTATACTGGAGGTCTTAGCGTTAAATTTGGAGTGGAGTCTAATAATCCGAAGTCAGATTTTACAACGACGGGTAACGAAGCTAGTTCACACAAGATAACGAGACCAAGATACTGAGTATATCTGCCTTAAAGCGACATCAGCGCCACCTAGTGAGTACCTACTACAATTGAAAGTCTTATCAGATATGTATGGAATGCATTATTAAAAAATCAACTTTATTAGTCACCAACATTTATGGTTACGACTATAAAAAAAATTATAGTTAATAGTTTTAGTTACACAATGAACAAAGACCTTATAACAGAATGCAAAGGTCAATTTTTATGTTCTAATATAATTAATTAGCGCCGCTTGCAAACACGTCGTCATCTAGATCCTCGATCACAGACTCGTTATTGCTGGAAAATAAAAAAATATAATATTCATATGGCAATACCTCTCACTGCAAGAGACTGATCTTTTTAAATGTGGGAGAGCCTTGCTTCAGCACGAATGGGTTGGCTCGACCGGAGTAATACCACGGCCTCACAGAAAACCAACGTGAAACAACAACAGCGTTGTGTTTCGCAGTGTCAGTGAGGTTACCGGAAGCCCAATTTTTCCTAATTCCCAAAATCTCCAAATCTCTAATCCCAAAAGGTCGGCAACGCATCGTAACTCCTCCGTCGTTGTAGTGTTCATGGGCGGCGCTGATTGCTTACCATCAGGTAATCAATTTGCTCGTTTGCCGACCTATAACATAAAAAAATGTTTACAACTTATAATTACGCGGGTATTAACGCGAAAACTAATTATTTAAACGCTTTAGTAGGCTTGACGTTTCGACCTGGTTGCAAAGGTCGTGGTCGCAAGCAGACTTAAAATGCGATGTCACAGTTCCCTGCATTAAGGCAATGAATCTTCTTCAAGGTAAATATTACTTTTCGCGTTAATACCCCCGTAATTATGTAGGTATGTGTTGTCATGTTTCAAAAGTTTTTTATTTGTTTCGAAGTTACACTATGATTTTATCCTGTATCATGGCTGTGTTTAAAACACACGCATATCACCCAGACCCGGAACAAGAATTTATGGATCACACTGCGTTATCCCGTACAGGCATTAATCTAGCAGCCAGTTGCCCAGGCGCTGCACAACCATGCCTTCATAATGGTAGGAAATTCAGTGACTACGGAGTACGGACCTTCGTAGATAAATGGGGTCACGCTTTTGTAATGATATTATTACTAATTGTAACTTTAATTGGTCGATTGGCGGTAAGGGCGACTGGCAAACTGTCATCACGCAATAAAATTAAATGTAGGTAATTTGTAAACGTCGTGGTATCTCATGCATGAGGGAGCGAGTTCGTAACCTGGCAAGTAAAAATGTGACTTTTTCCGAGTCTATGTACTACCTATGTCTAGTGTTGACTCTATGATTGTTTAGACACCACTAACATACGGTGAATGACAACATCGTAAGGAAACCTGGAATTATAAGTTTGAAATCCGCAATCCGCCTTGAGCAAGCGTGGTAATTAATGGTCAAACCGTCTCAGTGTGAGAGACCTTTCATCAGCAGTAAGCTCTTTTAGCTATAGACAGGTGATGATATTGTTTTTGTGAAATGTTACCACATATTAGTACCTATAATCCTGGGTCTGTCGTAAGTTCGCTCGCAAATAGTTTGTTATTTATAGACAACATCACACAAATAACAAAAACAAAAAGTCCCTTAACTTATCTGGCGAAAATTAGTCACATTCAATTCTGGTATTTCTACCTTGAAGGTATCTTCAGGAAAAAAATACAAAAAGGCGCGATTTTATGAAAGTAAAAATTATAAACAAATTCGTTCTTGCTAAAATAAGTAAGTTCATACATTGAGCCTTTTACCGGCCGAAGGCCGGTATGTTAGACACTATAGAAAGTTCTTGCGTGGTTCCGCGTCTACCACGGTATACCACGAGTTAAAATAAAAGACTGAGACCAGTGCAAATCTAATAGTGTAAATTAAAAGAGAGGGTTTTCATAACCATTGCCCACCTTTCAAAATGATTTGCCCTCCTCCAAAAACGAATAAAAACTACACGAAAGAAAAATAAGTATTTTTTTTCTGTATCGTCTAAAATCTAGTCATACCAAAACTACAAAAAAAGGAATAAAGCAGTTTTTAGTCATTTATATTACAAATTACATGTAAAAAAGGTACAGGTGTCTTTTCATCCTAAAAATATAAAATAATACATTATATATTTTTATTTTTGAGTAGCATAGACACTTCAAGTTTTATTTTTCTTCTTATTTAATAAGTCGTCCATTTCTTTATAGACTGATTTACTTGAGCCACTGAAAGAAAACATATTTGTTAACAATACAAACCACGCCTCTAATTCTCTGAACCAAAGGTGAAGGCAGATCTATATATTAGGGGCCATCCATAAAGTACGTTACAAGAATATCATGATTTTTTTTAACTGTCCCCTCGTCCGTTGCGTCACTTATTTTGCAATTTCCCATCGAAAAATCATTAAATAGATAGTACAATAAAATCGCATGATTTTATTGTACAATAAAATCGCATGATTTTATTGTACTATCTGGAGTATAGTAGTAGTGGAGTGTGTGGCATTCGTCAAAGGGCTTGTCAGCGATCGGCGCGTGCCACTAGAGCGGGTATATATTCGCCAACAAAACAATTTAAACCGTGTTGTCGTAAAGATAGAGTCAAAAATATTGTTTAGTTTGATTAAAATTTCAAATTACGCGATTAGTACATCTAGATTTATTAAAAACATCCCTTGTCACACCAACGTGTGACGTATTATATCGATGGCCCCTTACTGAACAGTTTCACCTTATTATGTTCTAACATCTTAAGATGTAGTGCATTTATCTATACATATGTGAGAGAGCCATGCTTCGTCGCGAATGGACCGGTTCGACCAGGGTGATACCGCGGCCCTACAGAATACCGGCGTGAAACAACGTTCACGTTGTGTTTCGCCGTGTGAGTGAGGTTACCGGCCGCCCAACCCTCCCCCCCCCCCTTCCCCTAAAGTTTTGGGGAGTCTAAATCCCCAAAACTTTAATAGGCACAAAAGCCAGCAAAGCGCCTATGGAAATTGCTTTAGTATTGCGTCAGTTACACCGGTGGCTTACCATCAGTATACCGTCTGCTCGTTTGCCGATCTATTCCATATTTTTTTTTTCTCATCGCAAGTGTTTGGTGATTTGTGGTGGCCCGGAGGTTAAGGTTAAGCTCCTCATGCATGAGGGTACGGGTTCGGAACCTAGCAAGTACCAACGTGAGTTTTCCGAGTTATATGTATGTACCTACTTTCTATGGTTATTTGGACACCACAGACAAACGGTGAAGGAAAAACATCGTAAGTAAACCTGGACCTATAATTTCTGATTATAAGTTTGAAATAGCCAATCCACCTTGAGCAAGCGTAGTGATAAATGCTCAAACCTTCTCCGTTTGAGAAGAGGCCTTTATTCCACTATGAGCGCTTATAGGCTGGTGATGATGAAATTTTTCTAGTCTTTATTAAGGATTTTTTTAAGGATTTTAATATTAAAGAGTCGCATTTACCGCCAATCGACAAAGTAGGTTTATGAAAACAAGTATATAACCACTATACCACCACACTTAAATGAAGTGGGGATAAAATTATAGGGCTTATGGCTATCATTCTTCCTACTAATATTATAAATGAGAATTAATGAAAATAATATTCTCTAGATAAAACCAAAAACCACCAAAGTAGATATAGAAAAAGGGCAGTAGGACAATTTAATTCTTTCCTCAAAATTTTGAATACACTGCTTAGGGCTGATATTTCAATAGTCAGAAAAATGTTATCTGAGGAATAAAATTGTTGCTGTCACTGTCTTATATCTCATAATTATTGCCCAGATAATTTATATCTAATCATTGAAAAATCAGCCCTAAATCAGGTTCGAGAATGCTCGCCTGGTTTTAACCGATGAATGTAAGAGCCCCGGCGTAGCCTGAACTTGGTCAAACATCCTCGAACCGATAAATGAAAAAAAGGACTATTTTACAAATGCAAAGCCTTAGGTAAAAACTATACGGCCTTATTACAAAAAAAGGTTTTTCTTTATACTCAGGTTTGAACCATTGAGTCCTATGATGTACTTATAAAACTATACATACATCCGTAGTTGTCCACACTCAAAAATGACAACATGAAAAGTGGATAATGCTTAGTTATTTTTTTCTTTATTAAAAATAAATTGGGAAAAATAATACTTGATTAAATTGTTCTACTGACCTTTTATATATCATGGTGGGGTTGGTTCAGGATCGGATCGTACGTGATTACTTGGATTTGATTTTATTTCGCTTTTATGATTATATTTGGGATCTCGCTTAGACCTGTCCATATACTGCAACCCATGGCTCCCCAGGGAATCGTAATTGTCATAAAAAGGCCGCTGCAACAGTTCAGGCTTAAAATTCTTCAAGAAATACACCCAACATTTTTCAGTTTGAGAATGTTTCGATAATCTGAAAATATTAGAAAAAAAAACACTGTTAATAATGCCCGACAATAGCCAATCGTTTTTTCGGAACAACTCTTTGTGTGATCCACAAATTGTTGTTCTGGGTCTGGGTGTGATGTGTATGTGAAATTGTATGTTTGTTAACGCACCCACGACACAGGAGAAAATGTAAGTGTTTTTTAATACCCGCACACCGTTTTTTAATGAAAAAATATATATCAACTAGTCAAATTCAATACCTTTCTTTATCTATAAACGAAAAAAACTATATTTTTCTATTAAGTACTTAATATTCAGAAACTAGCAAAAAAAGACTGCACGGTTGGTGCGGTGGCTGGGCAACTGGCTGCCGTGCAACGTGTCACGGGTTCGATTCCCGCACGGAACAACACATTGTGTGATCCACAAATTGTTGTTTCGGGTCTGGGTGTCATGTGTATGTGACATTGTATGTTTGTAAACGCAACACAGGAGAAAATCCTAAAGTGGGGCAAAGATTAAAAAAAAAAATGAATAAATGAAAAATGATTTTTTTTCAGTTTTTTAACTAGCGGACGAATGTCATCTGCGCCTCCCATGGACACTCGCAACATCAGAGTTACAAGTGCGTTGCCAAGCCTATCCCCCTTATCACAAAATAAAATTTATCTTTAGTTTAGGTTTAAACCACCGAGTCAGATTTTAAATTTTGAATATTATTCTCACCTACCTTCAATATATGAAAAACTAATCTACTCTCACGCGGTTTCACTTGCTGCTCAGCTCCATTTGATCGTAGTGTAATATTTATAGCCTATAGCACTCAGGAACATTGTAGCTATCTATCAGTGAAAGAATTTTGGCAATCCGACCATCGGTTCCAAAGATTACCCCCTACATACAAACTTAGAAATTTTACCTCTTTATAATATTAGTACCTACCTATATACAAAAACTGTCTCAATGGTTTAGACCTAGATAAGGCCGTTTGGGGATAACGGGCTTGACTATCTGTGAGTATCCATCGGCGCAATGAAATGACACGATATTGGGCGACGCAGATCGCTTACCATCAGGTTATAATCTAATCCGTTGCTGCCTTACTTACGCCATTAAAGAAAAATGCAAATATAAACTTACGTATTCTTGACAACGATATCATCAATCTCCCGTACGTAGTAGTTCGGATGGTCTTCCAAAATGTCTAGTTTCCCTAGCATTTTTTCATCAACGTCATATATTTCACCTGTAAAATTGATCAGAATTGTTAATTTTATTTTTAGGAGTTTCCACTTAACTAGAATTATGTGAGCTGGTCTTCTAAACTTCTAGTCTTTTAACCTTTCGAGACACAATAGAAGAACAAAGTGTGGGAGAGTCATGCTTCGGCACGAATGGGTCTGCTCAACCGGAGTGATACCACGGCCTCACAGAACACCGGCGTGAAACAGCCACAGCGTTGTGTTTCGCCGTGTGTGCTTATTCTTTGGTATCGTGGGTCTTTTTACAAACATATCAAGATGAAAATCGACAGTTTATACACCGCCCAACGAGTTGTTCCGTGCGGGAATCTCACGCCAGTCACCGCGTCAACTGGGCAGTCTAAGTGCAACCTTGTCCAAGAGAATTTTAGATCCAAAGATCCTCTAGTCTGTGGTATAGTAGAAACATAAAATAAGTGAGTTATTTAGTTTCAGTTACATATAAAATGATGATATCTGCTGATGAAGATAAAGAAATAAAGCTGTTACAAATATTAAGGACGCCCAGAGATTAAGGTGCCATCTTCTCATGAGTGAGGATGTGGCTTCAAAGCCTGACACATTCTGGGTCTTTTCCAAGATAAATGTACTTTCCTAGTTGATTCAGAATTCGCTAACAAACATTTAAGAACATAGTAAAGAAACCTGGATTCCGGGGCTTATAATTTCGAAGTATAATTTTGAAATGGCCAATCCGCATCGCGCAAGGTTCGCGATTAATGCTCAAACATTCTCCGTATGAGCAGAGACCTTTGCTCAGCAATGGGTACTTATATGCTGTTAATAATAATGATGATGTACTTTTTTAATTGATTTAGAGACCACTGACAAACAGTTACAAACATTGTGCGGAATCCTGACCTCAAAATTTCTAAGTTTAACTTTGAAATGGCCAGCCCGCATCGTGCAAGGATCACGATTAATGCTCTAACCTTCTCCATGTGAGAAGAGGCCTGTGCTCAGCAATGGGTACTTATAGGATGTAAAGTATTAGTGACATTTTAAAAAACTTGCCTTGTACAAAATGCCCATTCCCAGGACTGTGTAACAGAAACGGCACATTATATTTAGTTGCAATGATCAGCGGATACTTTGTCTTAGTGTAACCATCTGCTAAAAAGTTGCCAACACCATTATTTGGGTCTTGCAACCAATAGTTGTTGGGCTGGTTGCGTTTAAGAGTACCATAGACAAACACTTTCTGCATGATCTACAAATAAAAAATATTATATAGATGTAAAACCTACTTACAGCTGTTTTATAATAATATGCGATAGATTTGTAAACAAGCAGTTAGCCTGATGGTAAGCAATCTAAACTTCTTAGGGAAGGAGTAATAAAAAATTTTGTAGTCCTTTGTGCTTAGTTTGGGATTTGAGGATTACGGGATGAGGGATGGCCAGGGGGATGGATTTTAACTAAACCTGCTGTGATCAAGATCAGTAATTTACAATATAAAAACCACCATACATTTTATCAGAAGTGGGCAAATGTCTGAATTCTTCTCCAACTTACATAAAAACAGACTCTAAACAATATATAAACTAAAGAAAGAAATCATTGGAGAATGACAGGATACAGGCAGTTAGTAATTCACTCATCAAAGAAGGGTCTTCCAATCATATGACTAGTCTAGTATGGGTTTGTGTATAACTTAGGACCCATCCAGTTTAAAAAGAGAGCCAAACAAGAACTACACTTGGATAAAAACGTTTGATCAAATTTGTATTATACTATTCTGAATTGCAACTAAATGTGAACATGAATTTGCCCTCTTACAATAATTTGAATGCATATACATTACTTCAGTGATAAGAAACGATGTGAATAATTATAACTATCTTTAGTTAACCATTTTGCCATTCAGCCACAAGCATCTAAACTAGAGTAAGTACTAGGTACTTACTCTAGTTACTAGTTAGTACTACTAAAAAAGTAGTTAGTGCTACTAAAAAAAGTAAAGGTTATTTTTATGAGCATGATAAAATGAGGGAAGTTTTAAAAAAGGAATTAGGAACAGGATGTAGAACTCACGGTTCTTATCGTATGCACACCAATGGGTTTGGGAATTTTGTGAACAGGGATAGCGGTAAACTTATGCATTATGTAGTTTTATGCTTTACCCTAACATTTTAAAACAAATTGATAAACCTTTTCGTTATTATTTGAAACCAAAATCAACTGGAAAGGAAAATGCACAGCCTGTTTTTCCTGAAATTTTTAAATGTCAAAATCAGCTGGTTTATTTATTTTTCAACTGTCATTTATTTCATGTCAGACAATATTAATTTTGATGTGATAGTTTTAAAATTTATTTTTAAAATGGTTTTTATTTCAAAATTATATAAGTTAATTTGCAAATAAAAATGTTTTTAAGATACCTATTTCTGTTGTAGTTCAATTGTGTAACGCTTCAATGAATAGACGCAACATTTTATGAAACTGAATTAAAACACTAATAACTGAACATATATTTACAAAACAATAACAAAATAAATTCAAACAAACTACCAAAAATTTTATCCATTACAAACATATTTTCAGAAAAGCCAGACTGTTTTTTTATTGTTGGAACACTGAAGTTCAAAGTTCACTTTTCATTGAAATATATTCTGGTGTAGCGGGCAACACTTCTTCAGTCGAAAATTTTACGCACTCGTGTGAAGTTTATGCCGGTGAAAAATAAAATTATTAAAAATTTGTTAAACATGTGTTTTAATCAGCTGTGACTGTGAACAAGTTTTGAAGTGGATATTTAACTGTTCTTGAGTTTGTAAACGTTTAAAAAAATCATTCAAGATGAGGTTAGCGGGTGCTATTTTCTCCAATGTTACGAAAATGCTTGATTTTTACTCGCAATTCAACCCTTCGCCGTTGTCTATAAAGCAGTTTATAGACTTTGGTAAGTAAACATATTTATTAAGACAATAACTAAACTGAAAATATTTAAAAAACCTACATTACTAAATCTCGGTCGTTACCGATTTTCGCTTGACCTTATTATTTTTATTTTGTTTTTCTTTCGTAACTGTAGCAATGATCGGAAATCCGTTTGGAAGTATGTAATAACAACACTTCTTGTTTGAAAATGTATGAGTTTGTGTAACTTTTTTTTTAACTGCATCGCTCCTCGTTCAATATTTTATTATTTATGTTTATTGGCTCTGACCTTGGCACTGTATAGCGAATGCAGGCGACTACACATTGCACAAGACCATTCATTTAGAACAAATTAAATTCCTGTACATAAAGGCTGTATAAGTTGATATCAGCGTCACTAACGCGCCTATAAAATCGACGATATTTTGTAAACACTTCTTTTTTTGACTAAGCTGTATTTTATTTTTCATAACAAAAACTGGTGTATGTGTAAATCTTATTGTCATCTAATAAGAAAGTAATTTGAACCAAAATCCTTAGTTACAACTTAAAAAAATTTCTTTGTAGAATATATTAAGAATAATTCAAAATTGGGTCATAACATCACAAAAATTATAATAAGTTTATCAACAACCTAATAATTACCTATTTATCTATGATGGTTTTTTTTTTAATTAAACAGATTATAAATACTTTTTGCCACCATAACAGTGTTTCAAGTTTTTATTGTTTTTAGAATTTACACCATTAAGTTGGCCCATTGACCAATATTAATGTGTTTACACAGATAACAGATATTAATAATTCATAACAGTTTCCTATTCAACCACTATGAAAATGATGGCCTCATTCTAATATGAATCTAACTAGTATTCATCAAATAAAAATATGTATATGTCTTATATAAACAGATGTTATTATTTTGAGTTAGCACACATTGTCAATATTTTATTTTATTAGTCTTTTGCGGGTCAAATTTAATTAAATAACATTGTATTTGTATTTTATGTGTGATTTATTACTGTGTTATATACATCTTATTTTTTAAATGAGATTTATTTTTCCATTATAGTAAAAGTAAAAGTAGCAGAGAATTTCAGTAGTTTGTTCAAGTTACAATTTAAACTAAAAAGACATCTTAAATTCTCAGGGTAACAATTTAATAAAGAAAAGAAGTTTCTGAGTTAGAAGATCTCTAAGCAAGACTATGCCAAAATAACAGAAGACTAGCTTAGAAGAAGAAAAGGAGTTTTTGAAAATGGAATGTTATAAATATAGATAGATACAAATTATTTTGGCCATCTAAAAAAATAATGTTCCTTATTCAAATTCTGATTCTAGTGAAAGATTCAATTAAAGAATAACTTTTAAACAATACATGTGTTCTTGAGCGTACCTTAATAAAGTTTTTTGTCATACAAAGATCATAGTATTTATGTGCCTTAGAACATGTATTATAAACTAATATGAAAGTTTGCTGGTATGGATGAATTTTTGTCACTCAAACAAAAGCTATGCATTAAATCTGACTGATATTTTGTACAGACAAAGATTTAGATTTCTCATTTTTTCCTCGGTACTGCTAGGAGAAACTAGGATATCTGTACTTCTGTACTTTATTATAAAGAGGTAAAATTTGTAAGTTTGTGTGTAGGGGGTAATCTTTGGAACCGCTGGTCGGATTGCTTGTAATTATGAATTTGAACATTGAATTGATAAATAACTTAACAATGCCTTTACCTATTTGGCTAATTGGTCTTGAATTATTTTAGGAAGTCCAGAAAAGGTTTGTATGTAAAAAAAATTAAAAAAAAATATCTTAAAAATATGTAAAATCAACATCTACGTGGGCGAAGCCACGGGCGACCGCTAGTACTTTGATAAAAATACCTAAATATAGCTAAAAATAAATATTCACACTTAAATAATGTAGGGCGCACAAGTTTAAAGCAGTTGTTCTGAATTAGGTGGTTGAGTCACAATGCCTGTTTTGTAGTACTTATTGTACATAACTATAACAATAATTGGGCCAGTATACAGGGTTGCCACTATTTAGAAACTTTTGTTTTGTGAAGATCTAACTGAGAAACTACTGAACTGAATTTAATGAAACTCATATGCAGTAGATTAAAATCAAAAATTTTTTTTTTCGAAAAGTTAATTTTTTTTAAATTTATTGTTGTTATCTAAACCAATAACCAAAATTAATTTTCAGAACAAGTAAACTAATCTTAAAATAAACTTTGAATATCTTTCTTCTGTCCTAAAATCCTCTCAATTTTAATGAAATGAATTACAATCAATTCAGTACTTTAGGAGTCATATAATAACAGGGTTGTGGTTGCAAACGCATTAATGTATAGGTGAAGTGAATATGGCTTTTAGTCAGTAATGCTTGGGCCACACCATCTGGAAATATCATTCATTATCGCGATAATGGACGTTAATCGTAGGTGTAATTTGATTACTAAACAAATGATTTAGGGTATATTTTTCATTGTTTAATACAGAAAGAAATAAAGAAAAAGTATTTATTCGCGTCTAGGACGCACATAAGACACGAAACAAACAAGTGTATAAACATTAAAACAAAAAAAAAAAAACGGTAATACCTACAATATAAAATGCACGCGAAATGGCCCTTGCTCAGCATATGCAGCTACCATCAATTATCGTGATAATTATTAGCGTTTCTCGTCAGTGTGGCCCCAGCAAAAGTTTTTTTTTGTGAGGGCAAAATCATCCAATGACTTCTCCCGCCCAGGGCCGGGCAGGAGGGAGTGTCAGACTCTAACTGACTAAAAACCCCCCTGTTCTTTCTCCTGCTCTGGGCCGAGGTCGCGGTGCCTCATTGCGCTTACCCGGCAACCCTGGCTGACCATCAGCCCTTTAGAGCCCTGTCTGTGGTGGTCTATTGGCTCTTTGAGGCGCGCGCGGAACGCTAAGCGCCGTAGGCTCGGGAGCAAAAGAGTCTGACACTCCATTTCGCATTCGAGAAATCACTTTTACATTTTCCCCCTCAAAAAAAAAGGAGGGTATGTAACAGAACAGTTCATATAAAATTTGCCATTTTGTCCTTCTATGGCTTCGTCGGTTGAGCCAACTGGCCTAACTTTACAGCCTTACCTTGACCTAATTGCGTTGGCCGGATTTACGATGTGCTAAATATCGGCGTTCCTCAAATAATTTTCTTTCAGAATTCATGTTGTTACACTTAGATACAACCATGTAATGACAGTGAAGTGAAGTAGTTCATCCCTGGGTTTATTAAGAGGTAAGCTGGGACTCGGATAAGGAAGTAACTAGCAATACAAGAAAACAACACTTGTTTCAGGCGATCAAACTGCCTCGATATTTTTTTATCTTGTGTATGCCAATGGTGTTTAATTCAAATCCCAAGCTAATACTAATAGTTTGTGGACTTATTGTACTACTTTGTTTCATATTATCACTATAGAAAGTATGAATAAACTTTCTAAAGTACTTCCAAATAATCATTTTTCATCATCATCGGCCCATAAATGCCCACTGCTGAGCAAAGGCTTCTTCTCACACAGAGAAGGTTGGAGCATTAATCACCACGCTTGCTCAATGCGGGTTGGCGATTTCAAACTTATAATTATAAGTCCAGATTATCTCACGATGTTTACCTTCACCGTATGTCAGTGGTGTCTCAATAATATACATAGAAAGTACATATAACTCGAAAAAGTCACATTGGTACTTGCCAGGTGTCGAACCTACACCCTCATGCATGAGAAGCAGGCTCCTTAATCTCCGGGCCACCACGACCACCGACTTCCAAATAATACCTACTTCATTAAAATCAATATCCTTTGTCGACAGCCCTGCGGCACAGCTTGAAATGTAATACCAACCACAGTTTCATTATTATAAAATCAGGTTTTCGCCACCCCTGTGGCGGATCATGTTGCTTTCGCATGCAATACAATTATATGCTACATGATAGCTGATAAATTATTATCAGTGCTATGTTTTCATTTAGTTTGTTTATTAAACTAACTTTCCGCCTGCTACTTCGCCCATTGGTCTTTGGTCAAAACTACTACTACTAATGCTAGAGCCAGACTCCGAACAGGAGAAGGATCGGGGTAGGGTTCAGTAAGAGTCTGACACTTCCTCACGCTCAATCCACGCCGGTAGAAGTCGCTTGATGATTTCAGTCACACTATTGTTAAACATTGTACAGAAATCGATTCAGTATTTTTTGTCAATTTGCGTTCATCCTGATAGATACAAAAGTGGACTCCTTTTTAATAAAACCTTATTCATAAAAAATAAATAATATTTTTAAAAAAAAACGACTTGTACACGTGTATTCTGAGTATTGTAGTCTCTCAATAAC